ATCAAATCTATTATTGGGTTGGAGCAAGGGATTTTTCCATCTAATTTGAAACAGGCTGTGGTTCGTCCACTCCTCAAAAAGGCTTCCCTTGACTCCACGGTGCTGAGCAATTACAGGCCAATCTCCAACCTCCCTTTTTGGGTAAGGTGCTGGAGCGGGTGGTCGCCTCCCAGCTCCAGAGCTTTTTAGACGATACCAACTACCTAGATCAGTCACAGTCGGGTTTCAGGCCTGGTCATGGCACTGAGACAGCCTTGGTCGCCTTGGTGGATGACCTCCGCAGAGAGCTGGACAGGGGGAGTGTGACTCTGCTGGTTCTCTTGGACATCTCAGCGGCTTTCGATACCATCGATCATGGTATCCTTCTGGGTCGTCTCTCTGGGATGGGCCTCGGGGGCGCGGTTTTGTCGTGGCTCCGGTCCTTCCTGGAGGGTCGAACCCAGATGGTGAAGCTGGGAGACGCCTGCTCAGACCCCTGGCCTTTGACCTGTGGGGTCCCGCAAGGCTCTATTCTGTCGCCCATGCTTTTCAACATCTACATGAAACCGCTGGGAGAGGTCATCCGGAGTTTTGGAGTTGGGTGCCATCTCTACGCAGATGACACACAACTCTACTACTCTTTTCCACCTAATTCCAAGGAGGCCTCTCGGGTGCTGGACGAGTGCCTGGCCGCTGTGTATCTGGATGAGGAGGAACAAGCTGAAGATCAATCCCGACAAGACAGAGGTCCTCCTGGTCGATCGCAAACCGGATCGGGGTATAGGGTGGCAACCTGTGTTGGACGGGGTTACACTCCCCCTGAAGCCACAGGTCCGCAGTTTGGGTGTCCTCTTGGATTCTTCGCTCACACTTGAGGCTCAGGTGTCGGCGGTATCCGGGAGGGCCTTTGCACAATTGAGACTTGTGCGCCAGCTGCGACCGTACCTCGCGAAGGCTGATCTGGCCGGGGTGGTCCATGCCTTGGTCACTTCTAGAATGGATTACTGCAATGCGCTCTACGTGGGGCTGCCCTTGAAGACGGCTCGGAAACTTCAATTGGTCCAGCGGGCAGCAGCCAGGATGCTAACCGGGGCTCATTATCAAGAGAGGTCTACCCCTCTGTTTAAGGAGCTCCACTGGCTGCCATTTATTTTCCGAGCCCAATTTAAGGTGCAGGTGCTCACCTACAAAGCCCTGAACGGTTTGGGACCACCCTACCTGCGTGACCGCATCTCCATCTACGAACCCACACGCTCACTCCGGTCATCTGGGGAGACCCTGCTCGTGATCCCACCCACGTCGCAAGCGCGCTTGGTGGGGACACGGGACAGGGCCTTTTCTGTGGCGGCCCCCCGACTTTGGAACGCCCTTCCAAAAGATCTTCGACAGGCCCCTACTTTAGCAGCTTTCAGAAAGAACCTAAAAACTTGGCTGTTCCGATGTGCCTTCTCAGATTAGGAATTCCCCATCCCAAGTCCTAGAAGCACTTTAGTATAATTAAGATTGCTGCACACCGCACTATTTTAATCCTACGTTCCTCCTGCCATCTCAGCACTTTTAACCCTGTACCCCACTGCTCTGGCCGGCCCAGTTTTAAAGTGTCCTGATGTATTGTCACTGTTGTTGTTATTCTGCTTAACTGTTTTGATTTTGTTTATTATTGTGTTATGTTTTTATTGTATTGTGTCGAGGCTTCGGCCTGTGTAAGCCGCATCGAGTCCTTCGGGAGATGCTAGCGGGTTACAAATAAAGTTAATAATAATAATAATAATATTATTGAATATTTTCAATCTGTGGATGATTGAATCCATGGATGCAAAATTGATGGATACAGAGGGATGAGTGTACCCCCAGTTATTTAAATAAAGGAACCTATTCCAAATTATTGTAACCTAAATTCCTATTATATTTAGGTGATCATCTTAAATCTGTCGCCTTAGATTTAGTATAATTATTCTACATTCTGCTTGACGTAACTCATCACATTTATTTACAATTTCAGCCCAGTTTTCTTTATAGATAACTGTACAACATCAGCATATATAAAGACTCCTGTTTTTATAGTTTCCTATTTGAAAGATGGAAATTATTTGGACAATTTAACATAGATTCCCATCTACACTGCCTAATAATGAAGTTTGCAACTGAATTATTAGGTCAGTGTAGACTCGTATAATGCAGTTCAATACAATTAAACTGAATTATATGAGTCTACACTGAACCATATAATGCAGTTTCAGATTGCGTTTTATGACAGTGTAAATGGGGCCATAGTTACAGTATTATTACTATAATGATCAAATAGAAAGAGTGCTAAGAAGCAACCTTGTTTGACTTCTTTGGTTGTAGAAATTTCCTTTGTCAGTCTTCCATCTGTGTTAATCCTTACCCGCATGGTTGTATTAGTGTATAATTCCTGAAATTATAAGTAACAGCCTTCTTAACAATGTTCTTTCTAGCATAATAAAGTATTTCTATTAATTAGGCTCAGCTAATTCAACAAAAATCCATTTGGAAGGGCCACTGTATATTTTTGAATTAAATGATGTAAAAAAACTAAACACACACACACACATACACACAATGGACTGCTAAAAAGAATGAATAAATGGGTCAAATCAAGCCTGAACCCTCCCTAGTAGTAACTAAGGGGACTAAACTGAGAATTTTCTATTTGGGGTATATCATGAGACGACATGATTTCACTAGAAAATACAATGATGCTTGGCATGGTAGATGGCAGTAGTAAAAAAAAAAAGGACTTCATTACAGATTATTTTTTCTCAGCTTGTCCATAGAAGTCAGAGCTAAAACTCAGATTTGCCAGATGCAAAGTATATGCTCTAGCTTTGAGTTGCAGCCTCTGCTACCCAAAGGACAAAGCAACGCCTAAAAAACAGAAGAATTTTCAGAATGAATGTTTTATTAGGAAGATATATATGAAAGGTTGATAGAAAATTGTATGATTAAGATCAAATTAAATGAATCAAGTCCTTATTTCTACATAAAGCTATAAACCACTCAGAATGTTTTGTTTGAGATAAAGGCTGGGTACTTATCTGTCATTTTAAAATGTATGAAGGAACTGAAGCCGTTTCCTACAAGGGGTGCAGGTCTGAAGGCAACATTTTAGGCAGTTTACCCTACTCAGAGCTGAATGATAGATGGTGCCTTCTTATGACTTTAAGACTAGCATATTTGATACACAGGAATGCATCCACTTCAGTAAAATTGTGCAACTTAGAACTGGGTGGATATGTGGCCCTTGGTGCCTGTTCCCATCATTCCTAGTTAGCACAGCAGCTGGGAGGGACAGTTCAACACACACTCTTCACCTATTGCATTAGAGAAAGGGTGATTCTTCCTAGAAATGTCAGCTCGACAGCTTTTTCTGTGTTTTTCCAGGTCCTGGAGGACAGAATGGAGGCACACCAGATGGGTCCTCCCACTTTTCTATGTGGTGAGTACTTTTAATTCTTCCAGAAAACACAATCAGTTCTCTTGGTGATGGTGTGAATTCAGTGAGAGAGAAATGCAAGGATCCCCATCTTTGGTTTACTAATGTTTTGGGTCTTTTATATTCTTCTTTCTTTTTTTACCCATGCACCCAGGGAGGGCACAACTAATGAAACGATGAAAATTCACCGGGAGTGATGACGAAGGTGACAGAAACTGGCTCCTGCTGATCCAGGAGCATAAAGGATGCTGATGCCCGCCTGCTCGCCGCTCACCTGCCCAGAGGCCTTGCTCTTTTCAGTGCTGAGGAAGTTGCAGCCATGGTTGCCCTTTCTCCCACCCTATGGCCTGGTTGCTGGCCAACATTGGTGCTGTGAGGACTGCTTCTACCTATCCGTCCAGTTATCAAGCACTGACTCTCAGGATTGCTCTCTCTCAGGTTGGAGAAGCTGCAGTTTCTCCTCTTCATTTAAGCAGTCTGCTTTTTTTTTCTTTTTGCAAATCATAGACTGGTCCCAAGCCTGCCTCTCTTTAAGTCTACAACTCCATGTTATATGGAGCCAATTTCCTTCTGCAACAGTGCTTGAGTTCCCTTTGCCCTGAACCAGCACCAGTGTGAGTGGAAAATTATTTCTACGGTTTAGCTAAAAATGCCCTTTGCTGACATTTGCTAAGCACTGCACCTTGCTGTTGGAAAGGTGCAGAAGGTTAGCCTAAATAATTCATACTCTTGCTGGTTTTCTACCTAGGTAAGAGTGTGTTCTGTGCCAATGACTACTTTTGAGCTTACCTGTTTTCGAAAACAAACCATTGTCTATGGTGCTCATACTTTGGAGGCGCAAGATGAAGAAGCTCTCCGCACCTCCGTAGTGCCACAGGTGCCAACTTGATATTGAGCCATCCCTTTGTTTCTGCCCCCTGTGTCATTGTGTGCAAGGAATGGACTATAAAGAAGTAATGGGAAACACAAGTGAAGTCTGAGTCTCATTGCATTTACTCTTGTGTGCTTTCTTGATTAGCTGAGGGCCAAACTACAGATGGTGCAGAAGCTGTAGGGCTCTGTACTTTGCTGAGCTAAAACTCCCATGATTTTTCACCATTGGCCTATGCTGCCAGGGACGTCTGAAAACTGCAATCCAGTAACCTCTAAGGCAGTGGTTCTCAACCTGGGGTCCCCAGATGTTTTGGCCTTCAGCTCCCAGAAATCCTAACAGATGATAAACTGACTGGGATTTCTGGGAGTTGTAGGCCAAAACACTTGGGGACCCACAGGTTGAGAATCACTGCTCTAAGGCAACAGGGGTGCAGCAAGTAGGAGGTTTTGAATTTTAAAAGAACGGTCCTCTTGGGGAGCACATGTCCCTCTTTCCCCTGTATTCGCTACCCAGCCTGAATTGGCCCACCAAAAACACTTGTCAATCTCAAAGGATATTGCTAAAAGTGAAGTAGTAAAGCCTCCATAGCTTATACATTTTTGTTCTATATGTGTTAATGGATGCAGTTGATGTTAGTTTATGTATTAGACTACTAGATATTTCCTTGAGAAGGTAGAATGGGAACTTGGGTTTTGTTCACATTTTAATAAGCAAATCTACTTTTTTCAAAAGGTTATCAAGGTCTTCCCCCTTGTACCACAAGGAAAACATTTACCCCTATTATCTAAGAAGGTAAAGGGGATAGTAAAAATGCTGGTAAGGCTTAAGTCATGTCTACATACATGAGTTAGAGTAAACATTTTGTTTTCTCAAAGGAATGAACTGGCAGGGGTTTACAACCCACAAAGAGAATGCAGTAGTACATATAGTTCCTCAGGTGTGCTTTTGGGGCCAGGTATCTTCACAGTTATTAAGGTCTTGGGAGGCTTCTCTTCATCAGAAGCCTGAAGTAGTTTTTGGTTTTTCTCTCAGTAGGCACTGAGCTATATCTTCATAAACAAGGATTTTTGTTCCAGCAGAAGCTTGTGATTCTTTCATTGTAATACAAATCATATAAAAAACAAAGCCTGTCCTAACTACAGCTCATTTTCCGGAGTAGTAATGGGTGGGAACAAAGGGCATCTTGGTGACTAGAGCTGGGCAGTTCTTCTTCCTCACTTCTACTGTGAGGTTTGTACCTACTTTGCTGAATTGACTCTCCACATAGCCCATGGCAACATTCTTCTGCAGGCAAGGGGAGGGGCAGCCGCTGGTAATCTCTCCTAGGGCAAGGAGGAACAGGCAAGAGTACTGGTCAATAAGGAACATACACATTCCCCCCATTTGTTGTAAACAAAGGGACACAGTGCTGAAGATGGGCATCATGCCACCACCAGTGGCCCTAACATTTCCTAAGACAAATGGGCAAAGACGTTCCTTTACTGACCAAGGAAAAGAGAATCTGAACAAACTATGAAATGCAGTATGCCAAACATAAATAATTTCTGCAGGATTCTTCAACTTGGTTCCACTAGTGGAATATACTACTTTTACAGTCTTCATAGAATAGGACAGTAGTGGCGAACCTATGGCACGAGTGCTGGAAGACACACTGTGCCCTCTCTCCACCTCCCCTGCTTACTCGCCCCCTTACTCACTCCCCCCTCCCCTGCTTCTCCGTGTCCAGTGTATCATCCCCCCCCTCCCAATACACACACAGTTTTGGCACTTCGTCTCTAAAAGGTTCACCATCACTGGTATGGGGAATCATGTGGCTTGTTGGGCTGCAAATCCCAGGCAGCAAAGCTTAGCCAGTCCAGCAACATCTGGAGGATCATACAATTTCAACCACTGTTGTGAACACTGGCCTAAATCTCCAGCTTAGACTCAGTGAACCAAAGAGATTTACTTATGTAACGGTTTACCATTCATTGGTTGATTAAGTCAGCTAAACTCTATTCTGGATTAACTTTGTGTTTCAGGCCACAGATTTAGTGGAGTTTCCACCAATCTGAGCAGCACCAAATTGAGAAAGGGTGGCCTAAATGCATGTTTGTGGGTGCTATAGGCACAGATTTTGTTATGGAGCATTCCTATTCATTCATGGACTATATTGTCTGGGTGGGGAGGAGTCTGCCTGATGTCAGGTGCTTCTGTTGTGGCCAGGAGATTGTGGAAGTTGTACTCTAGCACATCTAAAGGAGCCAAGGTTCAGGAAGACTGACTCTGTAAGAAATGTTAATCTGAACAGGCGCATTGGATGACAAACCAATGGTGACAGATGCCCTGCCTGTAGAATTATAGAACACCATCCCTTTTCTATGAAGCCAGGAATAGCATTAGGATTGGGAGTGCTAAGATGTCACCTTCCTACACTTTCAGTCCCACAGCCACATTCCTACAGACAGTGATGGGAAGGGGTTGTAGACCCACAGACACACTTACCAATAGCCTTGTCCTCTGGGCCAAGAATGGGCATATGCTGCCTAATGGGAGGCCCTGTGGAAGTCAGCCCCACTCGTTTCCTCTTCGGCTTCTCTTTGATTTGGGCCAAAATGATTGAGGCACCAGGGAAATCCATGGCTACACGACGCCGTTTCCCTGGGAAGCAGTAAAAAAAAAATGTATGTTTGTATGAAGACAACAGGAATCTGCTTCCTACAGCGCTCTATGGGACCCTTCATATGCTTGATGGGACTGCACGTCAGGCAATCTCTGGTCCCCAGGCATAACACTACTATAGCCTCCATAATATTGTAGATACTTTGATGATAGCACACAGAGAACAATGAGTGGGACTCTGTGTAGGAGTGGGTTTTTGCTCCCTGCCCCCAATCTGAAACTTTATTTATTTATTTACGACATTTATATGCTGCTCTTAACACCCCAAAGGGGACTCAGAGCGGCTTACAAGATAAGATAGATAGATGCAATATATTATATTATTAGCATAGCACAATATCAGTATTATATATTACTATATTGTACTATATCATTATATTGTAATATTATTAGTAATATTACATGTAGTATAAAATATATAATTATAATATTTTATTAGTATTATATTGTATTACATTATAATATAAATATATGTATATACTATTATATTATATTATATTATATTATATTATATTATATTATTAGCATAACATAGGAGACAAGGTGGAACTGTCTTCCTGGCGCCCTCTCTCTTCACTGGCCCAGAGCAGCAGTTGGTGCTGGAGGGAAGGGCTCCCATCGTGATGCACATTGTGATGGAATGGGGCACAGGAGGCAAAATAGGAAAAGTAACCTTGTGTAAGTGCCCTCCCTGGTCCAGTCCAGTATAATCTGCCACTTGCTAGGAAGGGTGTGGGTTTTGAGACACAGAACCAGTACCTACCAAGGGTCCAAACCAGACTGGCCTCCACAGGAGTTGTGCTCTCGTCAATGTCATTCCCATAAAGACACAGCCCTGCCTCCAAGCGCAAACTATCCCGGGTAGCAAGTCCAGCCAACCACACTGTAGGGTCTCTGAGGAGCAGTTCAGCCAGCTCCACCACTCTGCTTGCAGGGACAGAGATCTGGGCATGATATAGCATTAGAATTTCATCAGTTGGATTGTTGTCCTCTTTTCTGTCAGCATTAAAAATTGTGCTTGCCTTGCCCAACCCACTTTTGAAGTCAATTCAGTGCTTTCTCTGGGCTCCCCACTCAAATCATCCTAATTCAATGAGCCCTTCTGCATCAACTCACTATCCTCCCAGCCTGAAATAATGTATTTGCCCTTCTCTGGGAGCCCATCATGGTAAGCAACTCTCCCACAACCTCAGTGATGGACAGAAACTCTCCCACCTCTTAGTGCTGCCACTGCCCACCAGTGCTTCCTTTTTATCCTTCTGGCAAACTGAATTACGAGCTGCCTGCATGGTACCTCTACACCATCCTCTCCTGTGTAGCCACAACGTGTCACCCGGCAGCCTTGCACACCAAACACGGCCATTGTTGCACTGCTCATGAAGGGCAGCTTAGCCAAACTGTCATTCACCCCAGCCTGGAGCACTTGGGACATGGCAGGACCTAGTGGAAGAGTAAAAAGAAAGGGGGTAACCAGAATCACAGCTGAAAGACTAACCCATACTTTGAATGGGTCTTAGTCCTCCATCCTCTCTCAAGGCATTTCAGAAATGTCTTGTTAAATAGGCAAGAATCGGGCACTTCAGATGAAGGATATAGCTGGATCAAAGTTACTTTTTAGCAGTAATTTTTCCCTTTCTTAGCTGCAATCTTTGAGAAATAACTTGCTGCCATTTCGTACTGTAACAATGAAATAACAATTCATTGCATTACTAGCTGCATTGCTTGATACCATTATCCAACATTTTGTTTTGTTTATTTGTTTGTTTTGAAGAGGACAATCCCTTAGAACTGGTAGAAATAGAATACAATTTGGAGGGAAAGTCTCCCAAAAGTCCATTTAAAATCAAGCACTACTAACGGAAATTTTTCAATATATATAAATCACACTAGCTAAATGCCTCTTCTGAATATTAATGCAAAGAGAAACAAGAAGGAAACACTGCCATTATGCCCTGCTTTCTATAACTCTTAACATGTGGGTCATCTATTAATCAAAAAGGGTACTGGATTATACTGATGCTATGATCCAGGAGGGCTCTTTTATGTGCGGACAGCACAATGTAAAGTGAACACTGCCGCTCTAAAGATTGCAACTAGTTGATGTTATATCAGTCAATGGTCTGACCTTACTGATCAAAACAAACACAACAATTTAATCTGTTGGCTGTGGCAAACAAAACAGGGTGATGGAAAGCAATGTTAACCTATCCCCAAAAGATAATCAATGAAGTTGTGACTTAGACCGAGAGATACAATTCCATCAGAGCCATTGATACATCAGTGCATCTTCTCACAAACCAAATGCCTGATCTTGGTATCAGCACATTATGCTCCTCATAGTCCCTGCAACAATGGTGGAGCAACCACTGCAGAAAGTATATTTACCTTGGAGAGCAAGCAGACCATTCTCTGAAACCTCCAATTCAACATCACGGCCAGATGCTTTCATTTCCTTTGCTTTGTTCTGCGAAAAGGAACAGACATTATAATAACAGCTAGGTCTTGATACATTGGAGGGGCAACTGGTGTCACCTAAGCATTTCCCTCAATAGCAAGGATGGGTATTATGTGTTGCTACAGATGCTCTTTGACAACAGTTCCTTCACCTCTTGTCAGTGGGAATGCTGTTTTGGGCTGATAAGAGTTGCAATCCAGTAACACTGTCTACCATTTGCCCACCACTGGTGTAACGGGGCCCAACTATGGATGGAAAAGGGATACACTCAACTCCACCCTGGAATGGCATACTTCTCATCTGCTCTTGCTATTATCCCCTTTTGGGATGGGGAACATGTACCTGCATGAGAGCAAAATCCTTCTCCATGCATCCTGCATTAGAGACCACATAGAGGTGATCCTCTGACGTACTGGTCACAATCAAGTCATCTATGATGCCTCCTTTTTCATTGGTGAACAGAGAGAGAGTGCCCTGAAAGAAGATTAAGTTCAGTCTGACTCTGTTACAAACAATAGTAGTTAGACTGTGTCAACAGGTTTTATTTCTAGACTCTTTAAGTATTGTGTCACTTTCTTCTGGTCATGTTCTGGTAGTACCTAGAAACATGCAGTACTCCAGATCTGACCTGACCAGGGCAGAACTGTGAGATTTTTTAATTCCTGTTACTTGCACACAATGTTTCTATTTGTAGGGCCTAAGATTGCATTAGGTCCCTTAACAGTTGGATCACACTTTTAGGGCATACTCTGCTGGCTTGTAATTAAATAAGATATCAAGATCTTGGCCATAACTGCAATGGTGTTGGCTCAGCCAAGCTTCTCCTGTTTCATGTTTGTGTCTTTCATTTTTAATCATCTATCACCTGAAAACAAAGCTTTCCTCTCACCCATTATTGAGGAATATTACATTACTAGTGCTCGGCTAGATATTACATTTACATATTTAAATAAATATGTTCAAGGAACACCTCAATAGCATTTTTTTCAGAATTATATCAAACCCTCTTCTTTCACAAATTGTTCTGCTGTCTCTAAGGTATGTTTATGTTGGGTTTAATCCCTGGACTGCACAAGTCTCTTGTGTCATCAAGTCTTCAGTTCTCAATGAGTAGCTAGACTAGAGATAGCATTAGAGTGAGGGATTCCTCTCCCCACATTCCTATGCATGCTTATCCCAGAAGGGGCTTTGTTTTGACTCTTCCTCCTTGCCACTATCTCCTCCCCCTCTGAAGATGTAGCAATGTAATCTCTGTGAGGCCACTTCCTTTTTAAAGGTATTTTGATTGCCCTGGGCTTGGCCATGCAGTCAGCCTCCATTGTTTTTTCTGCTTTTTTACTTCCTTGCTTCCAGTGAAGACGTAGTTTGCCCCTCTCTAGGCAAAATGTAGTTGCATGCATATATTTTTTTTTTACTTTTTAGCCTTTCACCTTTCTTAGAATATGAGATTTAATAAGCTAGTTAACTCCAAGACCTTTTCTGCCTAGAATGTATTTGTTTTCTTCAATAAATATTTTGAATCTAAAGTTCTGCCTCTGCAATCCTGTGCCATCCTGTTGAATGGAAGCTTATCCTGGCTCACCACAAGTAAGTTTCTGCTGGTTATGAAGTTTACTTTTAGTACTCTGCTATATTTATGGTGGAATCACCCCAACTGAGGGTTATTTGGAGCCTTGCAGCTCAGAATCCCCAACAGTTTACTATGTATGTTTATCTAATCTGTTTCCCAAAACTATTCTGTAGGTAACATTGGGTAAGGTATTGCGGTTTGTCAAAGATTATTAAATTGTGCACCCCAATCTCTGCATGCCTTCCAGTACACTGCCTCTTCGCACTACACACTAGGCTATAACATACCTGATTAGGCTTCAGTTCTGCAATGTCTCCCACCACGAGGCTTTCTAGGAACTTGACCCGGTCTTTGCCAAAAACTTTTGTCTGTAAAAGAGAGAATTGCTGTAGATCAAGTGTTTGACATGTAAAAAAACCCAAGAACCACCATTTAGGAACAATATCTACACCTGGACTGCCAAATAAATGAATAGTATACTACAATTAGATTATATGTGACCAATTATCAGCTGAATTGCTCATAATAAGACAAAATGCGAAAAGACTCAGCTTAGGCTATACACCCAGATATAGGAGCCCCCTGAAAAACATTGAGAGCAACTCAAAATTTATTGTGTGACATCAGTAGGGAGAGGAATGCTGAACCTTCCTAGAAAGTAGATGCCAAGCAAAGACAATGTCACAAGTGCCTGAAATAATAATAATAATACTACTAATAATAATATTTATATTTTGCTCTATCTCCCCGGGGTACTCATGGTAGCTTCCAACAAAAAGGCAAACATTCAGTGCCTCAATAACAGTAAATACAAGTATAAAAACCCAAGAACCCTACATAAAGAGCAACTTAAGAATAACAACTATAATTTAAATAAAACATAATCAATTTTAAATGATAACTAACATAGAACTTAAACTTAAAACATCCAAACTAATATATCAAAACAACAGTAATGCGAGAGCAACATTCAGCCATGTTGGGTCAGACCAAAGAGTTATGCAGAATATGTGATTTATGGAAAGAATGAGGCAAAAATAGTGAGGTTTGGTCACCTCTGAACTTCAGCTTCCTCTCTTCAATGTTACCTGCAGCATGTGAGACACATCAAAGAGTGAGCACTGCTTTCGTGTGTGAAGATGGGACTCCAGGTGGCTGTGAGTGTACTGTACAGGGAGGCTCCAGCCTGCGAAACCCACCATCTTTCCACCATGGTGCCGGTGGAAGTCATAGAGAGGTGTCCGCTTCAGGCTGTCCTGCAGAGGAAGGCAAGGAGTGCTCTGAATTACCATTAACAGCAAACAACCCACACCAGGAAATCAGTTTTGAGAACAAAAAAGGCCCTCAAAATGTCAACAATAGCTATGCTCCATCTTCATCCATTCAAAAGGGAGAAGTATTTCCCAAAACATCTATTATGTTCTAAGGAGTCTGGAGAACAAGCCCTATGAGGAGTGACTTAAAGAGCTTGACATGTTTAGCCTGCAGAAGGGAAGGCTAAGAGGAAACATGATGAGGGCCATGTATAAATATGTCATAGCGAGGAGGGAGCAGGCTTGTTTTCTGCTGCCCTGGAGACTAGGACATGCAACAATGGCTTCAAACTACAGGAAAGGAGATTCCACCTGAACATGAGGAAGAACTTCCTGTGAGAGCTGTTCAGCAGTGGAACTCTCTGCCCCAGAGTGTGATGGAAGCTCCTTCTTTGGAGGCTTTTAAGCAGAGGCTGGATGGCCATCTGTCGGGGGTGCTTTGTATGCAATTTTCCTGCTTCTTGGCAGGGGGTTGGACTGGATGGCCTATGAGGTCTCTTCCAAAGTTAGAGGTTGATGAACTCTAAGAACTCTTGAAGTCTACTCATTAAGTAGACCAAGGGTGGACAACTTGTGGCCATCAAGATGTTGTTTGCTTAGACTTACCATCAGTCCTAGCCAGTGACACCAGTTTTGAGTGATGGGGGGAGGTCAACATAAAAAACATCAGAAAAACACAAGTTGTTCATGGTTGACCGGTTCCATCAGCAGTCTCCTCCAGAGTCACATAGAGAGTACATACATCCCCCCAATTCAGGCTTCATTTAAAGTTGGATTCCACCTACTATATGAACAAGGGATGATGGCTGTCTCTAAGAAGCCTATAACCTTTGTCATTAGTCGTGTTTACTTAGTGCTTTTATCACAGGTCCAATGTCAAGGGGAAAGTAAATGTGCTTGCTCTTTGTACCCCCTGCGGGTTAGCAAACTTCCGCTGTCCCTTTCCTACTCACTTGTGCTCTTTTCTATCTGCTAAGAGTTCAGAGAAAGCCTGAACTAAGAGGACGTCCACATTGGTTCTTTAATTTACAGCTTGCATTTGTAGTATAAAGATTATCAGGGAATGATCCTAGATTAATCGTTGAGCCTGGAACCTCAGGACTCAGCGGTGACCAGGGGAGCTTTGCACAATTAAAACTTGTGTGCCAGTTGTGCCCGTACCTTGGGAAGTCAGACTTGCCCATGGTGGTCCACGCTCTTGTTACATCTCAGATAGATTACTGCAACGCGCTCTATGTGGGGTTGCCTTTGAAGACTGTTTGGAAACTTCAACTAGTCCAACGGGTGGCAGCCAGATTACTCACCAATGTGAGGTACAGAGAGCATAAAAGTCCTCTGCTACGCAAAAACAATTCAAAGAGCTGGATTTAGCCTATAAAGCCCTAAACGGTTCTGGCCGAGTTTACCTGTCCAAACGTATCTCCCTCTATGAACCATCAAGGAGATTAAGATTGTCTGGGGAGGCCCTGCTCTCGGTCCCACCCCCATCGCAAGTGCAACTGGTGGGGATGAGAGACAGGGCCTTCTCAGTGTTGGCCCCTCAGCTGTGGAACTCCCCAATGAAATCAGGTCAGGCTCTCCCTATAGTCTAGGCATGGGCAAACTTCGGCCCTCCGGGCGTTTTGGACTTCAACTCCCACAATTCCTAACAGCCTACCGGCTGTTAGGAATTGTGGGAGTTGAAGTCCAAAACGCCCGGAGGGCCGAAGTTTGCTCATGCCTGCTCCAGAGGCAAAAGCCAGCCCTGGATGTCTTCGCTCCGTGGGGAAGAAGGTGCGCTTGTTCCTGGGGCTTCTTTACCGACTGAAGGAGACTCTTTCCAACCCTCCCGGAGGGGAAACCCGAGGGCCCCGCTCACCTGCCCCGAGGCATAGCCCCTCTTCGCCGAGGAGCCCCATCGGGAGGCGCTCACCCGCGCCGCCCCTCCGCCTCCGACCCGCAGCATTTTCCCAGCCGCCGAGGGAGGCGGAGAGCAAAGCCTCTTCAGCCCCTCCCCGGTCCCAGAGGCCGGAGCTCACAGTCCCGGAGAAGCCTGGGAAATGTAGTCCGCCCCTCTGAACATTGGTCAAGGCCCTGGCCTGCCCTTCAGCGAGGCCTTGCTCTGGCGCCCTCTTGCCCACCCGGAGAGCAGAGGCAGGGGTCAGGGCGAGGGAGGAAAGCAATGGCATCCATCTCTTTCCTCTTGTGTCGACCTCGACTGCTGGCCGTCCAATAGAGGTGGCCTCCCCTCAGGAGCCCTTTTTGGGTCCCATGGACTCCTTGGCTGAGTTTCTTCACCTGGGACACAACCTTCCTCTTTTCCTGCTGCCTTCTACTTTACTAGGACAGCCTTAGGCTTAGTCATCGTGGTTTTTCAGCTAAGCTTTGTTTTGCTGGAGGACCCATTTTATTTGTTTGCATCCGCCCATAACATCCTCATATTTGCCATAGATGCAGGCGAAACGTCAGGAGAAAAATTGCCTCCAGAACATGGCCATATAGCCCGGAAAAACCTACAACAACCCAACATCCTCATAGTTCTTCTCCGGCACCGCATTTCATATTTAATATTTTTTAAAAAAATAGTATTATATCATCCCCCCCCCCTTATTATATCATTTTCCCCCTCTTCCCCTTCCGCTTAATTTTTGCCCCCTCACCAGGACCAACCTACTCATGTTATTTTGCAATTCCAAAATGTCATAGTTTCTATTGCTGGCTTATACCCCTTTCCCTCATTAAAAATATACTCAATAACCCCCCCCCCCTTATTTTACAAAAATGTTTGTTTCCATATTCCCCTTTTAATTTTAATATTGCAAGTTACTTTATCATTAATAGCTATATCCCAAATTTCCCTATACCATTCTTCTATTTGAAATTCACTACGTTCATCTGGAGAGGCCCTGCTCGTGATCCCGCCTGCCTCGCTAGCGCGTTTGGTGGGGACACGAGACAGGGCCTTTTCCGTGGTGGCCCTCCGACTCTGGAACACCCTCCCCAATGATCTTAGACAGGCCCCTACATTGGCAGTCTTCAGAAAGAACTTGAAGACCTGGCTGTTCCGATGTGCCTTCCCTGATTAGGAAATCTCCAATACCAAGTCCCAGAAGCACTTTATTAGAATTAAGATTGCCGCACACTGCACTTGCCCTATAATCCTTACATATCACCTGTCACATCAGCACTTTTAATCCTGTACCCTTTACTCTGGCCTGGCCCAGTTTTATCGTGTTTCGATGTATTGTTTATTGCTTGTTGTTTGTTGTTTTTAATACTGCTTTAATTGTTTTAATTTGCTTTAGGTGTATTGTTATGTTGTGTATTGAGGCCTTGGCCTTTGTAAGCCGCATCGAGTCCTTCGGGAGATGCTAGCGGGGTACAAATAAAGTTTAATAATAATAATAATAATAATAATAATAATTTTTTTCTTTCCAGTTTTTTGCTATTAGCAATTTAGCTGCTGTTATCAAGTTGGAAACCAATTATTTCTCCTCTTGTGAGGGAATTGTACTGTCATGTATAAGTAATAATGCTAATCTTGGTGTAATCTTGATCTCTATTTTTATTATTGCTCTTGTTTGAATATACTTTCCAAAACTTTTGTATAATTTTACATGACCACCACATATGAAGGTACATCCCTATTTCCTGACAACCTCTCCAACAGATTTGAATATTTTTATCAATCTGATTTAATCTAATGGGAGTTAGATACCACCACCATACCGGTTTATAGTAATTTTCCTTAATTCTTATATACATTTTAGTAATCTCATACTCCATCTTTGCCCATTCGTGATTATACACTTCCCTCCAAGTCTACTTCCCATACTTCCTTCAAATAATCTTGTTCCTGTTCGTTCATTAATAACAGTTTATAGATATCACTTACTGTACCTTTTAATGTTATATTCTCTTCTGTATATTCCCTACCCCATTATACTTTTTCCTTATATCACTTGACCATTTACCCAATTGTAGATACTTGTACCAAATTAGCACATTCTCTTCAGCTTCCACCACCATACTCAGAAATGGGAAATGCCATGACGTGGACTCTGTGACATATCCTGACCTTTGAGTATCTTTATAGCTATCTTCCTAAGTCCTAGGGTATATTTTGTAATTTTGAAATAATGCACTTTGATACCAGTGTAATAGTCATAAAACTCTGGGAGCTTTTTTTGTGTGTGTGTGTGTGTCAGGAGTGACTTGAGAAACTGCAAGTTGCTTCTGGTGTGCAAGGACGTTGCCCAGGGGACACCCGGATGTTTTACCACCCTGTGGGAGGCTTCGCTCATGTCCCTGCATGGGAAACTGGAGCTAACAGATGGGAGCTCACCCCACTCCCTGGATTCAAACCACCTACCTTTCGATCAGCAGTTCAGCCGACACAAGGGGGCTCCACACTCTGGGAGCTGTAGTTTTATTACAAGAACTTTACGCCTTCTCTGCCAAAATGTGCTGGTGCCTCATCAACTGCAACCCCCAGGATACCATAGTATCAAGCCAGTTAAAGTGGTGTCAACCTGCATTCATTCTATACTATAGACAAACCCTTAGTCTTCTTTTGATTTCTTGACTATAGTTTCCTTATGTCAGATCCAAGGTATGAAAAATCATGAACTATTTCTATGTCTTAATAGTCTGTTTTAAAGTTATGTAAATAATCTAGAGTCATGATTTTTGTCATACTATTAACCTTTAAACTTGCTTTTGCACTTTCTACCTTGATTTTCTACAACCATCATCCCAAGTCTTTGCTATTCTCTGCAAATAGCATGATGTCATTGACATATTTTACATCTCTGGCTCCTTCTATACTGCCACATAAAATCCAGGTTATCTGCTTTGAACTGGATTGTATGACAGTGCAGAAGGGGCCATTGTCTCCTGTGGACTAAATCAGGCATACTACCCAACTCCTTGTCTTTTTTTTTTTAACAAAATAATCTTTATTTCTTTTCTTAAAAATACAGTAATAGATAGAGAAAGTGCTGGAAACTTTTACACTTATAAAAGTTTCTCGCTCTGTGAGGAAAAGTATAGAGAGGGGGGGGAAGGGGGGGGAAGAGGAGTAATAGTATAGATGTGGTAGAAAATGTCCAAATTGTCCTCTTTTTATGTGTGCATTGTGAGAAAAGAAGTTTAGAAATATACAGTGAGGGATAGGAGTGTGTGTGGTTATTGTAGATATTGTGTTGACTTTCTGGTATCCTCTGGAGAATTTTTATCCTGTTCCTTCTTCTTTCTTCCTTTTCCCTCTTTTATATCTTGAATAATAATAATAATAATAATTTTTTTTCTTTCCAGTTTTTTGCTATTAGCAATTTAGCTGCTGTTATCAAGTTGGAAACCAATTATTTCTCCTCTTGTGAGGGAATTGTACTGTCATGTATAAGTAATAATGCTAATCTTGGTGTAATCTTGATCTCTATTTTTATTATTGCTCTTGTTTGAATATACTTTCCAAAACTTTTGTATAATTTTACATGACCACCACATATGAAGGTACATCCCTATTTCCTGACAACCTCTCCAACAGATTTGAATATTTTTATCAATCTGATTTAATCTAATGGGAGTTAGATACCACCACCATACCGGTTTATAGTAATTTTCCTTAATTCTTATATACATTTTAGTAATCTCATACTCCATCTTTGCCCATTCGTGATTATACACTTCCCTCCAAGTCTACTTCCCATACTTCCTTCAAATAATCTTGTTCCTGTTCGTTCATTAATAACAGTTTATAGATATCACTTACTGTACCTTTTAATGTTATATTCTCTTCTGTATATTCCCTACCCCATTATACTTTTTCCTTATATCACTTGACCATTTACCCAATTGTAGATACTTGTACCAAATTAGCACATTCTCTTCAGCTTCCACCACCATACTCAGAAATGGGAAATGCCATGACGTGGACTCTGTGACATATCCTGACCTTTGAGTATCTTTATAGCTATCTTCCTAAGTCCTAGGGTATATTTTGTAATTTTGAAATAATGCACTTTGATACCAGTGTAATAGTCATAAAACTCTGGGAGCTTTTTTTGTGTGTGTGTGTGTGTCAGGAGTGACTTGAGAAACTGCAAGTTGCTTCTGGTGTGCAAGGACGTTGCCCAGGGGACACCCGGATGTTTTACCACCCTGTGGGAGGCTTCGCTCATGTCCCTGCATGGGAAACTGGAGCTAACAGATGGGAGCTCACCCCACTCCCTGGATTCAAACCACCTACCTTTCGATCAGCAGTTCAGCCGACACAAGGGGGCTCCACACTCTGGGAGCTGTAGTTTTATTACAAGAACTTTACGCCTTCTCTGCCAAAATGTGCTGGTGCCTCATCAACTGCAACCCCCAGGATACCATAGTATCAAGCCAGTTAAAGTGGTGTCAACCTGCATTCATTCTATACTATAGACAAACCCTTAGTCTTCTTTTGATTTCTTGACTATAGTTTCCTTATGTCAGATCCAAGGTATGAAAAATCATGAACTATTTCTATGTCTTAATAGTCTGTTTTAAAGTTATGTAAATAATCTAGAGTCATGATTTTTGTCATACTATTAACCTTTAAACTTGCTTTTGCACTTTCTACCTTGATTTTCTACAACCATCATCCCAAGTCTTTGCTATTCTCTGCAAATAGCATGATGTCATTGACATATTTTACATCTCTGGCTCCTTCTATACTGCCACATAAAATCCAGGTTATCTGCTTTGAACTGGATTGTATGACAGTGCAGAAGGGGCCATTGTCTCCTGTGGACTAAATCAGGCATACTACCCAACTCCTTGTCTTTTTTTTTTTAACAAAATAATCTTTATTTCTTTTCTTAAAAATACAGTAATAGATAGAGAAAGTGCTGGAAACTTTTACACTTATAAAAGTTTCTCGCTCTGTGAGGAAAAGTATAGAGAGGGGGGGGGGAAAGGGGGGGGAAGAGGAGTAATAGTATAGATGTGGTAGAAAATGTCCAAATTGTCCTCCTTTTATGTGTGCATTGTGAGAAAAGAAGTTTAGAAATATACAGTGAGGGATAGGAGTGTGTGTGGTTATTGTAGATATTGTGTTGACTTTCTGGTATCCTCTGGAGAATTTTTATCCTGTTCCTTCTTCTTTCTTCCTTTTCCCTCTTTTATATCTTGCTCTCCCCTATTTCTATGTTCTCAATCATATTCCTTTAGGTGATTATTTTCATATTCTTTGCTTTTGTTAAATATGTTGTTACGTGTTTCCAGTCTATTTCCGCCATCGGAGTACCCTTCTTTTTTGATAATATGTATGTCAGTTTGTCCATGTTCCTTATATCTAATATTTTTGTTAACCATTCTTCTTCATCTGGGGGATCTTTCTTTTTCCAATATTTTGCATATGTTATTCTGGCCGCTGTTGTCAGAAGGAATAGAATTTTGTCTTTGTTTTTTTTCCATTTTTGTATTGTGTATTCCTAGTAAGAAAGTTTCTGGTTTTAAGGGTATATTTATCTCTAATATGTTTTGTAACGTTTTTTGTATTTTCTTCCAATATGCTGTTGCTTTCGGGCAGGTCCACCATAAGTGGTAGTACGTCCCTTCTTGTTCTCCGCATTTCCAGCATTTTGTATTTGTGTTTTTGTTGAATTTTCCTAATCTGTGTGGTGTGATATACCACCTATGAGCCATCTTAATCCAATTTTCTTTAAGTTCCATTGCCTTTGAGTATTTTAATTTCCTATTCCATACTTCTTCCCATTCTTCTTTCTTTATTTCTCTTCCAAGATTTTCCCTCCATTTTTTCATATAATTTTTCCCTTCTTCTTTATTATTTTCTTCTTCTATGAGTTTCTTATATATTTTGGAAATTAGTTTATTTTCTGATTGCATTATTTTGTCCCAAAAGTTTTTCCCTTCCTCAAATCCTTTTTCTTTATCTTTCTTGAAGTGTTCTTTAATTTGTTCATATTGATACCAGGAGATTCTGTTGTTTATACTTTTTAATTCCTCTTGAGTTTTCATCTTAAATTCTCCTCCTTCCTTTCTTATTATGTCCTTATATTTGGGCCAATCGTACCATCCTGTTACTCTTCTCTGTGATGCTTCTAGCGGAGATAGCCAAGTTGATGTTTTTTTGTAGAATTTGTCTTTGTGTCTGTTCCATACTTTAGTTAGGGAAGATCGGATGAAGTGGTTTCCAATTTTTTTTTCTTTTTTTGCCTTATCGTATCCAACATATGCGTGCCAACCTAGTCTTAACCCTTCTCCTTCTATGTTTAAATTTTTTTCCTTCTCTAATTTGGTCCAATCTCTTATCCAGATCAACGCGCATGCATCATGGTATGATTTTATGTCTGGAGTTGCTAGGCCTCCTTTGCTTTTCCCTTCTATCATGTTTTTATAATTTATTCTTGGTTTTTTTTCCTGCCAAATGAACCTCATTATATCTTTTTTCCAATCGTTTAATATTTTTTGGTTTCTGATTATTGGTAGATTTTGAAATAGAAATACAAGTTTTGGAAGTATTGACATTTTTATAGTTGCTATCCTTCCCAGTAAAGATAGTTTCATATTTCCCCAACTCCTTGTCTTAATCCAGTGGTTCTCAACCTTCCCAATGCCGTGACCCCTTAATACAGTTCCTCATGTTGTGGTGACCCCCAACCATTATTTTAGTTGCTTCTTCATAACTGTAATTTTGCTACGGTTATTCATTCATTCATTCATTCATTCATTTATTTATGGCTTTTCTATCCCGTTCTATCTCAACCTCCGGATGGCTGAGTTATGAATCATAATGGAAATATCCAATATGCAGGATATATTTTCATTCACTGGACTAAATTTGGCACAAATACTCGATACGCTCATATTTGAATACTTGTGGGGTATTGGGGGGTTTACTTTGTCATTTGGGAGTTGTAGTTGCTGGGATTTATAGTTCATCTACAATCAAAGAGCATTCTGAACTCCACCAAGGATGGAATTGAACCAAACTTGGCACACACAACTCCCATAACCAACAGAAAATACTGCAAGGATTTGGTGGGCATTGACCTTGAGTTTGGGAGTTTTAGTTCACCTACATCCAGAGAGCACTGTGGACTCAAACTATAATGGATCTGGACCAAACTTGGCACAAATAATCAATAGGCCCAAATGTCAACACTGGTTGAGTTGGGGGAAATAGACTTTGACATTTGAGAGTTGCAGTTGCTGTGATTTAAGAGTTCACCTACAATCAAATAGCATACTGAACCCCATCAATGATAGAATTGGGCCAAACTTCCCACACAGAAGTCCCATGACCAACTGAAAATATTGTGTTTTCTGATGGTCTTTGGTGACCTCTCTGACATCCTCTTGTGACCTCTCCAGGGCTCCCGACCCCTAGGTTGAGAAACGCTGTCTTAATCGGTTCCTCCATGTATGATTGCTATCACCTAGCTATAGTCTGCTAATGAACACTTTGTTATTGTGTATTTCCAAGTAGTTTCGGACTTATGGCTACCCTAAGGTATAGATATCACAGGGTTTTCTTGGCAAGATTTATTCAGATATTGTAGAGAGAGAAAATGATAAGTTCACCCAATGGGTGTTCAGGTAAACATTATTTTCTGTACTTGGTGTATTTCAGTTCTCTCTGACCCCAGTTATTCTATTCCACTAATGGTGCCACTAGGTTTGATGTTACCCAGTGTGGAAACTCATAGTGGCAATGGCATCACCACCACCATCCACAGATTAATAAATAAACTTAACAGATTTAATTACATAGATAAGAATCAATACTTTCTTTTATATGGTTATAAGAAGCACATGCAATAAATAAATGAATTATCCTTTATTTGGGACTCACTGCTGAGAAAGACTTACCCATCAACCCTGATGTAATACAATGGTTTTGAAGACCATTGCAGTTCTTTCAAGCTATAAATAACATAAATAATTCATAATAAATAACAGGGAAGAAAGTACACAGATAAAAGAAACAGAGTTCTAATGTCCTCCTGAGTTCTAATGTCCAGCATTAAAAACAAACAATAGGTGCAGATCATACTGTAGCAATTCATTCTGTCCTGCATCCGATGACTACAAATTGTACAGATACTACAGGAAGTATAACTCACCACAAGAAAAGAAACATTTGTCTGGGAGCAGAGTGGTACAACAGAAACAGGGAAAGGGGTCAAATATTCTCTTCCTAAACTGACAGATTAGCCATTGGAGGGACAACATTATATTGCTGTGCCAATAGGCCAGCTGAGAGAAAGTATTTTCTTAAAGTAGGAATACTGCAGGAATCTGAACCCAGACTTTCCCCATAAAAATCAATTGCCGTTCTCAACAGTTAGTGTCCAATTACAATTGGTCAGCCAGAATAAATGATTATTTACAACTGATAACAGGGGTAAGCTAGGCAATTGGAATAGTTAATGAATAAGGAAATGTTTGAGGAATACATTGGTGACAACAATTTGTTATGCAGATGGACTTTCTATAAGGCATGCTCCAAAGCATTTGCAGACGGGCTTCCCAAGATAACTTTGCTTTTTAAAATGTATACTGTTACAAGAAATCATAAGGGGCTCAACTGAAAATCAAAATACAGCTACAGTTTGACTTACAGTGTAAGATAGCACTTTCATTTTCTATTTTTGCTACGCAAAACTGTTTACTATATTGCAGTTAAAGTTGCTGCTAGCTTCAAAGATGTCCGGTCTAGTACTAATGGATCATTGGCTAGTTCGTTCTCATCTCTTTTAAGACAAGTGGTCACAAAGATATTACTGGACTGCCCTTCATTTATAATCACTGCTCACAAAGGAGCCAGGAAACATCTAAAAGAACACTTGCTTCCCATCCTTCCTTTGGAAAAAAATAAGGACCCTATAATCTTTCAATAAGTTTCTCTCATTGTCTCCAAAATACTGAAAATAAATAAATAAAAAACTGACGCTCTGTTGTTGTTGGTGAGGTAGCCACAGCAAAGAAAATCATAACTGAACTCTTGTTTCTCTGGAATTCCAAGCCTTGGACTGGGGAACAACATGCTCTCAAGGCCATTCCCTTAACAAAATGAAAAATTGCAATTCTGTACTAGTTTCTTGAAGAAGATGCTTAGTTTTGTCCTTAAAAAAACAAGCATGAAGGAGCAAGGCTTGGAAAAGCAAAGCAGGAGATGAAAAGCCTAAGTAAGGCACCTTCAGTCCAGGTAATCCAACTGTGCCTGGCCTAGTGCAAAATAAGAATGTTCTATACATGCGACCTAGTTGAGGGGAGACAGAGAGAGATTCCAGTGTTGTTCAGACATCTCTGAACAACAGAAAGGGGAAGGACTGGAACTTGAAGGGAGCAGATTTAACTCAACTTTTTCTTCTGCCTCAAAACTGTCCCACAATTGCAGGGATGCAGTCCAGTGAATTCAATCCTGAGATTCCTTGCCTACTTCTGGATCAGAGAGAATTCAAGTATACGACAGGAGGTTAAGATCATAGGAGCCATCAACCTGAAAGAGATACAGAATATTATTTTAGCAAACATTCAGGAAACTTTGATTATTGTGATTTCTATTCCCCACAGACCCTGTGCTCACTCCATCAGTGGGAAAGTCTAGTACAACGGTTCTCAAAGTAAGCTTCGCAGAGCCCTGGGGGCATATTGAGGAGCTCCACGCTTTCCTCCTCCTCCTTTTCCCTCCTCCAAGCTTTTCCTCCTCCCTGCTAGAATGCTAGAAGTATATATTTTACGTTGCCTAGAAATGCCCTCCATTAGAGCTTTCCACAATGTGTACATCTGATGTAAGAAGAGCTCAACTCAACAAGGCTCTTTTCATGTCATGATGGAGCCATCATTTCAGACAGTAATGCCTGGACGTACAATCTGAAGATGTAGGGTAATCTTATCCAGAGGAAAATCTCTTTAACCAGACTAGTTGTTTATTAAATGAGGAATGAACAACCATGACAGCAAGCAAAAGGAAACTAACATCAAAGCGCCCAATCCGTGATACTGGCTGGCTGGCTTGGAGCATTTCTGTCAGGACCCACATTTGCTGCACTTCAGAAGATACTTTATCAGCATCAGGGAGATCCTGAAAGCAAAGAATAATTATATTTAGAATTGGTTGTTGTGTTTTTTTCTGGGCTGTATGGCCATGTTCCAGAAGCATTCTCTCCTGATGTCTTGATGTATCTATGGCAGGCATCCTCAGAGGTTGTGAGGTCCTCACAACCTCTGAGGATGCCTGCCATAGATACAGGTGAAATGTCAGGAGAGAATGCTTCTGGAACATGCCCATACAGCCCAGAAATCACACACAACAACCCAGTGATTCTGGCCATGAAAGCCTTCAATAATACAGATTCAGATTGACAATTTTTCTTCCTAGTTTTTTGGATACTTCTCCACATCTTCTCAAAGGCCACTCCCCACTAAGAGCCTGTCACCAATCTTTAACCAATCATTTTGCGGGCTCTTTGCCTAGAAACATGCCCTCATTAGATGAAAGGCATTGGTATTCATAATTCTTACCTCATGCAGGTTTGCCGGCCGTTCCTGAGGAGACGGATGAGAGAGCCAAGCTGGAAAACCTTTCTGTGGACTCTGGAAGAGAAAAGAAGGCTTAAGCAGAAATACAGGCAGAGATACAGATGTAATACTGTATGCAATTAGTTTCTCAGAGGAGCCTATTGACAGACAGGTGAGATGTTTCAATTTTTCCAGGCAAATCCATAATTATTATTCACACAGTGATGAAGTGATTATTTGCAATCATTTTAGAGATATAATGTCTGGGGTCCTGTTCTTTTCCCTACTTGAATTTCACTGTCAAACCTTTCAATGGTCCACAATTAATTACACAGCACTGCACTTCCATCCAATGCCCTTGTTCCTTAGCTACAATTTGCACTATCCCATTCTGTTGTCTTGTTTACAGTTTGGTCATGTTTTACGGCAGTTGTCACCATAGGTTATTGGGCATTGTTTTATATGCTATTGGTTTTACTTTATTGTATTGTACTGTATGTTCATTTTATGCATTGTTTTAGGCACTTTGTGTCATATGTAAATCGCCCCGAGTCCCTTCAGAGAGATGGAGGCAGGGTACAAAAATAAAAGTTGTTGTTATTCTAAAATTGGTTTCAAAACTGTACCTGGCAAGTAAGGCGTTAAAACCATAGCTAACTATTGCATCCCATGTTCACACAGAAAGGCTCCAGCAGCTGCATTCATACTCAGTATGTGAAATCAGTTGCATGGAACACAGAATGAGCAAGAAAACAGTGCACTTCTTCTATGGATGACAAAGCTTCATGAATGGGATATTGTGAAGGAGATAGTTTTAACAGTTGGATTACACTGGAAAGTCAAAATAATATTCAAGCCAAGCAGTTGAGACAATCAGTTTTGCTCCACAGATGCTGGAAGCTAGGTTTGACTAATGATGTGAACTCCCTCCATTAGAGAACCAGAGGCTACTTGGCAACTTTACCAAACAGAAGGAGAACCAGGCACAATAACAATAATAATAATACTTTATTTATACCCCACCACCATCTCCCTGAAGGGACTCGGGGCGGCTTACATGAGGCCAAGCCCGTCAGATATAAATACAACAATACAGTAGCTTCTCAAGTTCATGTAATCTAACATCTTCTTGGAAAGAGCGTGAAACATTCACTGTCAGCTCACAGATTCTGTTCTGAAGATATATTTTTTTAAAAAAATCTGATCAAACCAGGGAGGATTCAGGCAGTGTCTAAAGAAATGAAAGGCGTTGTTAGGAAAAATGAGAGCTTACTTTCAGACCCCCAGGAAAAAGCTGCAGCTCCTCAATGGTAAAATGAAGCCATACTGGAGAGGGTTGGCGCAGAATAAGACGTATGGCAGCCACCCGGTCCACATCACAAAGCATCTGGCAAAAGAAAAGAGGCAAAGCATTATTAGCAATAGCTGTCGTGGTAAGAATAGACTGGGAATTAACTAATCAGAGGGAGATTATTATTATTATTATTATTATTATTATTATTATTATTATTATTATTATTATTAACAACTCTATTTGTACCCTGCTAGCATCTCCCAAAGGACTCAATGCGGCTTACACAGGCCAAGGCCTCAATAAAACAACAGCATAACAAAACACATAACTTAAAGCCAAATCAGTTTCTTATTGTGTTCCATAAATTAATCTAGCACCTGAATTGTCATGCTATATGCAAAAGTGAATAGCTTATCAAGCGTGGGCAAACTTTGGTCCTCCAGATGAAATATTAGATAAAACATTAGAAATATTGGATAAAACTTCAGACATCTGATGAAATGATCTATAATCCATGTTAAGAAAAGCTTTTTTGCAAGGGTTGTTTTAAATTATCACTTTATCCCCTCATTAGCAGCTGCTTTTTTGCAGTTCAGAGGAAAGATGAGATACAGAGAAGGGGACAGTTCCTTTTTTATATGAATTAATACTGTGCTTTCTCCTCTCTTTGGAATGCCACCAAAAACCATAATTTTGGCCCTAAAACCTGCTCTTGAGTTATATATGGGATCAACTTATATATGAGTATATGTGGTATTAACTAGTACTATCAAAAAAGAGTTTAATTGAGATTCCAATCATTAATATGGCTAGGGTTATTGGGAGTTAAAATTCAACAACATATTTTTTTAAAAATCACATAATCTCCACCTCTAGTCTAAAGATTTTTTTTTTAAAAAAGGAAAACTTACAGAGTAAAAGATTGTAGAGAGCAGTTTGCTAGATTGGACAGGAAATAATCTAAGGAGTCAAAGGTCTATACCAACTACACACAATGGCAATTTATGCTGAAGTCCTGACCTGATGTCTAGACAAAGAGAAGTAGTCCTGAGAGCCTTCCTCTGTGTGTGGGTTGGGCATCAAGCAGTAGTTCCTCAGACATGTAACCCATTTGGAAGGGCTTTCGTTCCCTCCATCTGCAGGGCTGCGGCGCTGCACCCGAAGAGTAAAAAAGGCTGTGTAGTAATTCTTGAATACGATTTCCTGCAACTGAAATAAGAGATGAATGAGTTCCTTGAAGTCATATATAGCAATATATAACATGCTGTTGGGAAAAGTTCTAGTAATTCCTCATTCTCTTACTCAGCAGTCCTTGCTATGAAAGACAGCAGGACAATTATGAAGTAGAGACTATCAAGACTCAAAGATAAAACTCTAAACTACAGCTTTCCAAACTTTTCATGTTGGTGACAAGCTTTTTAGACATGCATCATTTCATGACACAGTTTTTTTTTTAGCAAACCAGAGGTTAAACCAACCCCTTGTAAGAGATACGGGCACACACATAAAATGTAGTAACGAAATGTACAAAACATGTACCATGAAAGCTTCCATTTATATTTTTAAAATTGTACGTTTTGTAAGATAATAACATACATTTCCAAGACTTTTGTAATTTCTTGTTACTTTTGTGAGACACATTTTTATGCTGCAGCCAACACACATATTGAGATGCCACATAAAACCAATCTTACTACAGCTGCACTGGTTACCAATTGAGCACCGGATCACTTTCAAAGTGATGGTACTCACCTTTAAGGCCTTGGATGGTCTGGGGCTGATTTATCTGAGGGACCGCCTCACCCCCTACCAACCCCAGAGATCCCTCCGTTCTGAGGACCAAGATCTATTGGAAGTCCCCAGTGTCAAGACCTTGTGTTTAACAGCAACCAGATGCAGAGCCTTCACAGCAGTGGCACCATCACTCTGGAATACTCTGCCACCTGAAGTCCGTGCCTTGCGGGACTTACCAGCTTTCCGCAGGGCATGTAAGACATACCTGTTTCGACAGGCTTTTAATGTTTGATAGTGTTGTTTTTAAATTGTTTTAAATTGCTTTTAAATTTTGTTAGATTTTAGCTAGTCTTGTAAGCTGCTCTGAGCCCCAGGGGAGTGGCGGCATATAAGTTTAAATAATAAATAAGTAAATAAATAAATAAATAAAATATTGCGACACACAGTTTGGAAAGCTCTGCTCTAAATTAACTGAAAGATTAATGCCAGGTCAGAGACTACAAACATATATAGAATCACAGAGTTGGAAGAGACCTCGTGGGCCAACCAGTCCAAGCCCCTACCAAGAAGCAGGACAATCGCATTCAAAGCACCCCCAACAGATGACCATCCAGCCTCCGCTTAAAAGCCTCCATTTGCTCTGTCAACCGTCAGTACTCCACACCTGTTAATGTGTAGACACTTACATCAATGACCTGCGAGTGAGGGAGCACAACATCGGTCACTACCACTCCTGGCCGGCCGAGCTCTGTCCTCATGTCTCCCACTTGAAGTGCCACTGGGCTTTTGATGGTGCAAGGCGCAGGCTCCAGGGCCATGGTCCCCATCCTGGGAGAGAGCAGTGCCAAACAGCAATTACATCTCACTATCTGATGCTGCTGCTCCTGAAAACTCAATCAACTCATCCACAGTCCAAAGGATTCCTTATTTGGATGTATGTCTCACTGTATTTAATGGGAAGCACTCCCAAATAAATAAATATGGAGTTGAACAGTTTCTTGTGGCATTAAAGAAGCAAAACACATATTCTAATAACTAAAGGGGTTTGAAAACTCTTCTTTACAATCCCACAAAGTTTCCTGAACACTGTCCATTTCACCAGACGCCATATATGAAATGGACAGCGCATTCCTAAAACCTTATACCATGGAACTGGCTAGATACTCTGTGCTTCTGGAACATGGCCTTACAGCCCAGAAAACTCACTCAGCAACCTACTCTGTGCTGGTTTTCTTGAAACAGTTTTAACACAACTATCATTCCAAAAATCTTTCAGTAATTTATATGCAAGTCTGACTTATACTGAAGGCACACCCACATTGTAGATTTAATGCAGTTTGACACCATGTTTACTGCTGTGACTCAAATACCATGGGAGTTGTAGTTTTGTGTGGCCTTTAGTCTTCTCTGCTACAAACTACAAATGCCAGGATCCCACAGAATTGAGCCATAGCTATTCAAATGGCAGTTAAGACTTAAGCAAAGTTATATCTAGGACTGTTTAACACAGTGGTTCTCAACCTTTGGATCTCCAGATGTTTTGGCCTTCAACTCCCAGAAATTCTAACAGCTGGTAAACTGGCTGTGATTTCTGGGAGTTGTAGGCCAAAAGACCCGGGGACCTACAGGTTGAGAACCACCGAATAGGTTATGGCTAACAAAAAGTCTTTACCTAATATAAATTTAGTATAAAAATAGGTTTAATCTAGACCTAGCCATACTTGGACTTAGGCAAAATTATAAACTGAATTTATGGTGACTAATGAGAAGCCTTTCCCAACAAAAACCTTGTAAAAACCTAGTAAAACTGAAACCATTTGTCATGGTGCCACCAGATTTTTTTTTCACAATATGTTGTCTGAATACCTTCTCAAAATCTGAGATTGTATTACATAGCCATTTGTCTTTATTGTCTCTCTGTTTTGGGTGGTGTTATTTCCTGAAATTTTACATGCTTAAAATAATTAATGCAGTTTTGCACAGAGTTTTACATCCTCATTTATACTCCTAAAGCTGTTGTTCCCTGTATGGTTGCTGATGTAGTGTGTAATTAAAGAGAGGGTTGATTTTATAATGATGAAAAAAACATACACTTTTGTTACAGTTTTTATTAAAACTATGATGATGGGAAAAAAACCATAGTAAAACTACAACCCCCATAATTAATTTCATAGCACTCAGCCGTGGCAGTTCAATGAGTCTCAACCTGCATTCATTCTACAGTGTAGATGCACCCAAGACGTTTAAATTGTCCCGACTAACAACAAGTCTTTCTCTAACATAATTAACAATATGAATATCTTAATACAAATGTAACAAAAGTAGGTTGGAGCTGGACTCCTACCCACGTAAGACTTAAGCCAAGTGACAGCAGGGCCTGTTCGAGGGGGCTGAGGCGCCCCGTGGACGTCGAGTGCTGCCCGTTGAATCCTCCTCGCCTAGTTTGGCCTACTCTTTCCCCCACCGGTTGTCTTTATTCGTTGTGGAGGAAACGCAATCTGACCTGGTCTCTGACCAAGCCGGTTCGACCCGTAGTAAAGGACCCCCGCCCCCTGCCCGGCTTTCCTCCCTTCCCTTCCTTTCCTTCCCCGACCCGGCTCCGTCTCGCCTCACCTCCGGCTTCCTTCCGCAGCGCCTGCGAGCGACTACAAACGTGGCCGCGTCGCGAAGGACGGCGTTGCTAGGGCTCGCGTCACCCCGCGTGCGCATGCGTCGACGTGCGGAGGTGGTGTTCGACGAGGGGCGGGGCTTTATCTTTTGGAAGCCCCTCCTCTTCCAACGTATTCCCTCTGCCACGGCAGGAGGGATAGCGACGTGTCTTGTCGGGCGCCCAGATGTGACGCACAGCTCCAGTCGCCCTCTTCTAGCGTACTAGCCGTTGCCGTGGCGACACGGTAGCTTTCAATCTGATTGAGCAGGAATTCTGCTGGCTCTCTCTCGCCATTGGATAACCGGGGAGCGAGGACACGTCAGAGATTTTGATTGGCCGGGCGGTTGACGGCGATGCTGTGGAGCTGGGTTCTGGGCACCGTGGGCGAGGAGGAAGCGGGAGCGGCGGGTGAGGTGGCACAGCTCGTGGCTGCCAGGCCTCCGCGCCCGAATCTGGCCGAGCTGGACGGGGGAGGCCGAGGAGGAAGGGGCGGCGGCGGCGGGTGAGCGAGAAGGGCGGCAGGCCTCGACCTGGGCCCGGTCCCGCCAGGCGAGGATGAAGGCGCTGATCCTGGTGGGCGGCTACGGCACGCGGCTGCGGCCCCTCACCCTCAGCACCCCCAAGCCCCTGGTGGAGTTCTGCAACAAGCCCATCCTGCTGCACCAGGTGGAGGCCCTGGTCAAGGTAGGCGAGAAAAAAGGGGCGCGGGCCCTTTAAGAGGGGCCTGGCTTCTGCAAGCCAAGAGGGAGCGGTGCCGCATCTCCCTCGCCAGTTGGATCCCTCCCTGCTGTTTCCAGCCACAGGAAATGAGTGCAGGGAGGAAAAATGAGTACACTGTACGCAGGGGTCCGATTTCTAGTTTTCTAGGGGCAGCCTTACTTGAATTAGAAATGGCTAAGTGCCTCCTCCTCTGGAGAAGCAAGATGTCACTTCTTGGGGTCCATCTACACCAGTCATGGGCCAGCTTGGGCCCTCTGGGTGTTTTGGACTTCAACTCCCACCATTCCTAACAGCCTCAGGCCCCTTCCTTTTCCCCCTCAGCCGCTTAAGCGGCTGAGGGGGAAAAGGAAAGGTGAGGCTGTTAGGAATGGTGGGAGTTGAAGTCCAAAACACCTGGAAGGCCCAAGTTGGCCCATGCCTGATCTGTACTATAAAATTAATAGTTCAATACCACTTGATCAGCCATGACTGAATGGGATTTGTAATTTGGTGAGGTCCCAGCACTCTTTGGCACAGAAGGTGAAAGACGTTGCAGAACTGCAGCTCCAAGGATTCCATTGCACTGAGCCATGGAAGTTAAAGCTGTGTCAAACTGTATTAATTCTGCAGGTAGATGCAGCAGTATGCAGTTCAGATGTTCTCCCTCAAAGACGACTGAATTGGGGAGGGGGGGTTTCTAGTTTTCCAGGGGCTGCAAAGATGCCATATTTTCCCAAACATCAGAACTGAAACAAACTTGGATGCCAGCTCTTCGGCTTAGAAATGGAGTCAGACACAACTAGACTTAATGTCAGGGGAAACCTTTACCTTTTAAGAGGGACACAATTTTACTACATTGTTGTAAATAATAAGACTTGAGCACTCATGGTGTCTATATATTTTTTCTATTACTCCTGCTCTGTAACCATATAATAAAATTCATTCTCGTCCTTTATTCTATCAGCTAAGCATGTAAAATGTGTGTGAATAAAGGGTTGGGACCATGTGGCTTTGAAGGTGGTGTTCACCTACAGCTCCCAGTGTTCCTTTCCATTAGCCACGGTGGTTGGGGATGCTAGAAATTGCAGAGCAACAGCCCCTGGGGAGTTGCACAGTTTCCACCCCATGAATCAATCCAGTGTGCTGTAGTTTTGACTGACTGCTGATTTCTTCCCTTTTGACAGGCAGGTGTGAATCATGTTATCCTTGCTGTTAGCTATATGTCAGAACTTTTAGAGAAAGAGATGAAAGAACAAGAGCAAAGGGTAAGTGCCCTGAGAGGAGCAATTCTTAAGCTGCTTGCATTTGCTATTTATTTTTAGGATATTGTGCACAGTCATCAATCTAAAGTTGGAGTTCTCTTACCTTTCTTAGATCATTCTTTAATATGAATGAACCTCTGAAAAAGTCAGTGGCTCAGTGGCCTTTAGCTAGGAGCAGACTGCTTCACGGAGCATCCCACCAAGTATTTCGGCTCATACTTTCCAGAGTTTGTTACCTAGGGGGTTGACAGCTCACTTTAATTACAAAGCTTGAGTCTTATAATGAAAAAGATCTGCGATGAACTTTGCTAAGTTAGTTATATTGTGTGTGGAAAACTAAAATCTCTGTGTGCAGCATTTAAACTAGCTAGCATACAGCTAGGAAGCATTAAGCTATCATTTTCATTGAACTTAATATAGCTAAACTAAGTAAGAAGTGTTTCAAAAAGATGGACCCCTTTTGAAATGGCTATATCTCTGCAACCACAACTGCCCATGAATAAAATTCTTATCCCTTGAAAGGGCGGTGCATAGCATTTCAAAGCATTGCCACTAGATGCGTCTCCCAGCACACAAACAGGCCCTAGACCCAGTCATTCGCAAGATGGCAAACCTGCAACATAAGGCCTAATGAGATATTCTCCATTTGCAGAATTATTTTTTAGATTTGTTTCTGGCTCAAAATGATTAGTGAAACTTGGTAACTTATTAAATCTTATTTAACTTTTTGTGTAATTGTAACAAGTTGCCATCTTGAAATATAGTGCTTTGAAATTGGGTCCATCATTTTGAAACATCATGAATATCAGCCATTCCTGTTTGTGTTGGCATATCTGTAACTATTGTCTCATCTGTATGTTGTAAAAGTCGGCTGTGGACTTTTCCTGGCACTATTTGCTTACTCTTTTTCTCTTACTTCCTCTAACTGAAAGTTTATGGGTAATCAGTTTTATTGACACAGCAGCTACAAAAATCTTGATAAAAAACAAGATTAATTCCTTTAAGGAAAACTGCCTCTTTTTGTGATTTGATGACATATTGTTTTGAACTCAGGCATTCTATGCATTTCTATTGTTTTGAACTCAGGCATTCTGTGCATTCCTAAGAGGAAAAAAATAGCCAACAATTATTCTAGTATAAAGTGCCAGCAGCTTCCAGCTATTAGACTGATCTCTTCTGTGTTGGTTTCAAGTGTGCCTTGCACTGTTGACATAGATCTTAAGATAACTTAAGGAAGTTTGGGCTCAGAATGTCTCTTTTTTCTTTCCCTCTGTAATCAATCTAATCTTTATGGTTATAGGCTGCAGTGGGCTTAAGCTTGTCTAATTTTAACCAAGTTCAGACATGTTTGATAGACTTGCTTTCAATTAGGTAGCTTTAAGATTCATATGCCAAAGTAGCATTGGAAGTGTCAGGGGCTATAGGCCACCTTGATCTCCTTCTCTAAGGGACCACCACAATCTTATTCCCCTTGGGACCAGAGGAAGTAATTTTTAGTTTTTAAAGTCATCTTTTAAACATTAAAAGCCCCCTTTAACCCTGGGTCGATGTGGGATGATTTTGCTACGATTTTAGAAATTCCTAGGCTGCTTTAAGACCGAGAAGAGGTTCCTTATACAGGAATGAACTCAAGTCAAATTTTTCCAGAATTATGTTTTTAGTGGAGTGGGGAAAGTACAGGGGAAGTCCTTGATGGTTTCATGCAGTCTGTCGGGCACATTACCTATGGCTCTGTGCTGCAGCAATGATACAAATGTGGGCTTTTAAGGGGATAAGGTAGCATGGCGTTTTGCTTTGAGTGTTGGACGTTGGCTTTGGAGACCATGATTCAGCATCCTCCTTATCCACTCATGGGTGGTCTTCCAGCCTCAGAGGCCAAAGAAACCCTCTTTGATAGGCTTGCATCAGAGTCAGAAACAACTTGAAGGCACACAACCATAAGATACTACTCAGCCATCCCATCTAATGTAATAACTTGCTAGCAGAGGGATTACAACAGGCATTAACACCAAAGGGTGAGTTTTGTCTATTGCTTGCTTTAATTGGGCAATATTAATATGACTTATTTGTGAACATTCTGAAGAACTGGATGGGAATGATAACCTTGGGCAGTGGCATAGTGTCATTGACATTTTGTACACCACACACAAAAACATTGCTTATTGCTTTCCTTCTGATATGAGATTGCAAATTCTGTTTTCTTTTTCAGTTGGGTATTCACATCTCCCTGTCACACGAGAAGGAACCGCTGGGCACAGGTAACGTATGCTGCTACTTTCTGGTCAGTGGGTTTACAGTGAGGATTTAGAGAAAGAGAGTAGCTTCCAGAAAGCACAAAGAGAAAAGATGAGTGGAGGCACATACTATAGTCTTAGTCCTTTCACTCGTGGCCTCTTTGTGGATGAAGAAGTGTAACCATCTTCCAGTGAACATGATTCTCAATCTCTGTACAGTCTTGAGCTTGTACACTCTTGATAGTGCTGGGGGTCTAGATCGCATGTCAGTGAGAGCCGAGCACTTAATCTACATATTAGCTGTATCTGAAGTGATTGCCTGAGGTGGGCTCAGCAGTGCATGCTTGTTTCAATTTCTGGAGGGATTGTAAACAGGGAGACACTAATGACTCCTGGTTTCCTTTGCAGCTGGCCCCCTGGCACTTGCCCGGGAATTGTTGGTCGAGAACTCTGAGCCTTTTTTTGTGCTCAACAGTGATGTGATCTGTGACTTCCCCTTTGCAGACATGGTGCGCTTCCACAGGCATCATGGAAAGGAGGGCACAATTGTGGTAAGAATTTAAGCAAGATGAGTAATGTGCTTGCAGTGTTTCATTATTTTGTATAGTTTGAGGATATTTTCTAAATTCTAATAGTTGCGGATCTGCCAAAACCTGAATACAACAAAGTAGGTGAGGACATAGAAAGCAGGAATTGCATCAATTCTGTATACACACTAGAAAACTACAATTTAAAAAACCACATATACTTCTACAATGTTTTGAAGACCTCTTTTTGTTGACAAATGGAACAGAAATGCTAATTAATAAGTAGACAATTGTGAGGTGCACACCAAGAGCTCTGTGGTCTTGTTCCCA